ACACACACACACACACACACACACACACACACACACACACACACACAGTAAACTCACATGTTTAGAGTACTAGAATACAACACAACTCACTGCATCATGACGACAATGTTGTGGACCTTGATGGTTTGGAGAGTGCAGTAGTCACTGGAAGATAAAACAGGTGCTGGTTAATATGTAGGGTGGACCAATGAACACATGAGTTTAGATAAGTACTAAGATAGTGTGTGTTGTAATATACAGGCTATATTCTGACTCAGAGTGTGTGATGTGTGTTAATGTAAACTAGGGTCTGTTCACAATGTGGGGAGTAAAAACTGCAACCAGTCAACCACTCAGTTGAACAATGTCTCCGTCCTAGAGGACAGTAAACGGGTTTGGACTGTCGGTTGTACTCGGCTTGGACGGTATGACGAGATAATTGTTCAACACAATACTGGTTGGCCACGGCAACCATAATAGTGGTGGTTAAGGAGATTCTATTCTGCCATGCCTTATGAATTGTGCACTATGTCAGTCTCTCTTTCCCTATGTAACAACATGCTAGAATATGTGGGATTTTGTGACTACATCAATCTCTTATCAATAACATGTGGAGGAGGGAGAGAGAGCGGGAGGGAGAGAAATAAATAGATACTTTATTCATCCCCAGGGGGACATTTGTTTGTCGCTCCTACTCACACACTTATTTAGAGCGCTGCTCGTTGTTTGAAAGACAAAGACTATTGAAAGACTATTGCACGTAATGTTTATGCAAGTTATTCATAATAATACTTTTAATGTAAACCTTATGATTCACACTTCCAACTATTTGGTAGAGTCCTATTCGTTTCCCATGTAGCTCTAACTGCAGCAGGAAATGTTGGCAAAAAGAATGCAAATGTACCCATTTGGCGATTCTTTGGTTTCAAACCCAACGAAAAAGGAACCAGAGAAGGTGAACCAAGTGATTTGTAAAACAAGTCAGGACTAGGGAGGGAAAGCCCACACATTTCCACTCACATCTTAAAGCTAGTTTAGAAAAGCAGAATAGTGGAACCTAGACTTTATGTGGTTCTACAGGCTCACGCTCCAGATGATGGGCTGTTCCTGTAGTGGAAAAGGCCAACATGAAATGGAGACACTATTTCTAAATGATAGCAAACATCTTTGATGGATTAGCTAATAGCAGTGTAGCGGGACACAGAAGTCACATCCTGGTTTAGGAGTCACGGTGCGGTGCAACTTCAGCACATTTACATAGACCACATGGCAGACACACTCCTGCTGCAGGGGACCGTGGTAAACTAGCATCATTCTCATTTGAATGAATATTTCAAGCCCTTGTGTATTACACTGTACCAACGCTGGACAAAACACTTTCCCAAAAGGCAACAACAGGTCACAACAGGCTAGAAAACTGAAAACAGAAAATATGAAATAAATACAATGATACAAATAAAGCTTGTGCATTAGGAGTGTTAGGATGAGCTCCACCATGGCTATATGCCAATGTAAATGACAAGTACTTCAGTAATCATTTATCCCGGTCTGCTTTTCTCTCTCTTTGTCGCTCTAACACACACATTAGGCTACTCTTATACCAACAATATAATATGCAAACGTGTAAACTGCACTAAAAGCCGGCCTTGGCCACTTCACACGGTACTACCTCTGGCTGCCTTGCAGTTGAATGTGCGCTAGCACGTTCCATTGTGTACGTGATTCCATTCAGATCCCCTCCAACGGTGGAGCAACGCCCACACAGCGCTCTGGTCTCATACACTACTCTCTCTCCGCTGCCGTCGTAGCTGGGGAAGAAACCGGTATTCTGCTTGTGGCTGTGTGCACACACTGTGACAGCACCAACACATGAATCTGCCTGACGTACCTTTGACTAATGTTTACTTTAACTATTAATCAAATGAATAATTCACAGATTAAAGAAGAACACAGATAGTCATTAGATGCAGCCATAGTCTTGTCACATCTACAGTATGTGCCTGTGTGCTCCACAACTTCAAACCACACCCTGCATCAGGCCAAGACCAGAGGTCAAACAAGTAACAGCTTATCTACATCTTAAATCTTCACTTTGTATCCACTTTTGGTGCAGAGGTTCATGTAAACAGCGCAACTTAATAAAACCGTTGACAGATTTTTATAGCTGGATCAAATCATGTGTGTAAACATCGCCAGTGCTCTGGTTTTGTATGACAGTATCTGTTGAGAAAACTTAAGCAGCGTCTACCGCTGGTACCGTCTACCGCTGGTACCGTCTACCGAGCATCAGTGATACTGTGAGCCCAAAGGATATTAAAAGACTGAACCCCGCTGCCGTCTGGAGAGAGACGGATGTATGGACAGCTGTACTGCCAGACTACAGAGCAGCTTCCTTCCTCCTCAACTCCGCCATAAATAAATGACATGGGACTTTCTGTTGTGCTGTGTTTGCATATTACCATACGGCTACCCTCATTCCCACTATAAACCAAAGTCTCTCCAGCTATATTTGTGTTAACTGTATATATTGTTTTATTTTATTTCTATTCTAATTAAAATATTTGTATATGTTCATGTAGTGTGAAGCAGCTACAATTTACATGTCATTGTGCAACCCTGTGTTGTACAATGACAGATAAACGAACCTTGTAACAGTACTTACTACATGTAGTTCATCTCATCTGCAATGGTGGTGGAGACCATATAGTCTACCTGCAAACAGAAAAGGAGTGAGAGTTGTCATACCTGCAAAAGGTGACAAGCCCGAAACCCTGTCGGGGGGGGGGGGGGGGTGCATGCTCCGAGATTTTTATTTTAAATATGAGCTTTAACATGTAGCATTCTGATGTACTCTGATAATCAAATTAAGTGATAGGACAATATTTACTTTAAGCAAAAATCTAATTTATTATTCAGTGATTAATCAGTATTTCAGCTCTAGTTGAACAGCTGGCTAGTTAGCTTTTTTTTTTTAAATCAATATTATTATTATTATTATTATTAACCTTTATTTAGACAAAATCAATTGAGACCGAGGTCTCATTTTCAAAAGTTTTAGTCATATAAAAACAAAGATAGCAAGAGTAGCGAGAACCATCGCCTGTACAAATAAAGTGATTAGTTTCATTGAACCCTGTTACTGTATGACTTCATATTAACTTCTACTGTTACTGTAAAGCTGGTAGAACTGTGGCCCATCTTCTATTTGCAATTAATATGCATTCAATCCAGTTAAATTATTTAAATGAAAATGATAACCTACTCTGGCTGAGGTAGCTTATCAAGAGTAAAATAATAGCTGTGATCTATACACACCTCTGTATTAGCAACCTGCTGAAATGAAGGTACAGGTACAGTAACCCTCATTACTTCAGGGTTCTTGAGAGCAACGTGGGACTGTTGGGACTGTTAGTCCACTGGCTGTGGTCATCACAGTGAACAGTGTGATGAGAGGGCATGTGAGCCCTTGTTGCTGTACTTTATCTCCTTGGAGCAGAGGCTGCATTTAGCATAGCCTGCCTTATCAATATATTTAAAACACTGTGACAGCAGGAAGCTGTACTGCTCTCCCTTCACATCTGTCCACCTTTATCCAGGCCCAGCTCAGCCCTGCGTCAAGCTGCGCTACACAACCAGCCCCCTCTCCCTGAAGCTCTTTGACCACATCATCTCACTTTTCATCATCTGGGCCTCACTTTTCGTTATCTTAAAAGTTACTATCACCACGAAATCGCCTCATTCTACTTTGAGTTAAAAAAAACAACCTGCCAGCAGATCCGCCGGTGTTCGGGTTTAACGTTAATGAGTGACCGCGTGAACTGAACCGGAACACGGGGGGGCTGCATGTTTCATCACGTCACGTTTTTTCCTCCTAAATCGTGATAACGACGAACGTTAACGGTCGTCAAAGTGTCGCATGCAGTGGACGTTAACTTAACCCAGCAAGTCTGAACGGTAACTGTACATAACGGAACTTAAACTGTAACGGAGGGAAATGAAGACGCTGTAGACATCTGAACGCTGATTGGCCAAGACTCGTCACATCAAAGATGTTTTATTGCGAAGATCACGACATCACCCTGAGAAACGCTGGTTGGCAGTTGGCAGTTGACCCCCCCCCCAAAAAAAAACTCTACGGATCTACACGATTCACGTGGATGACATATTTTTGATTCAAAACAGTGAATTTCACCGAAAAGTGACAAGTTTGCAGGTATGGTTGTGTCCATCCAGAGGAATGGTGAAGTGATGACCAGACACTGTACCTGTTTCATGTCCAGAGGACTGATGGCAGTCATGTTGCTGATGCGAGATTTTCCAATCACCGTTTTGGCAAACTGCACCTGAGCTGTGATGTTGGCCACCTCCACTGAGTAGTAGTTGTTGTTGGTAATGTTGAGAGTGTTCTGCAGGAGAACCAACATTGAGGGTTTATTAGTATTGATGCGTTTTATACTTCTAGCAGTGATTTCTTGCAACTGGAGAGATACAAGACCTTGGTTTTAATGATCAGAGAGAGATGCTGTGCACCAAATTACAATCTGGCTCAAAATGCTAAACTTCAAGTAAAGAAATCTTAAATCTTGCCAGAAGAGCGGAGGGCATCCCTGTCTGTAAATACCTTTAAAAGAGATCTTAACACATATATATATATGTTCATCTTTTTGCTGTGTTATGTTCATTGCATTGGTGTATTTCTATTGTATTGTTAAGAACCTTGTATTGCAATTTTACACAAAAGGCACTACATAAATCAATAAAGTTGAATAATTTCTGTTGACAAACGGGTCTCTTTTAATGTTTGATGAAGTATGTCATACAATCTGAAAGCTAAACTAGTGTTGAATGAAACGACCTGAAATTAATATCATAATTCATTAAAATCATGATGAAAATAAAAAAAATCTGTTTTACATCTCTCGCAACTACCGAGTCAATTTAAAGCACATTTGTACATGACAGACATGGTTTATGGTTCCTGTATTATTAGCTATTTCTCTGACATTTCTCCATGGTTTCATTATAAGAATGCTGATTTCACCTCTGATGTTAGGAATAAGCCCACATAAAGGATGCAAGCACTGACTGACCGTTTGAGTTATTTGTGTGTTGTTTTACTTTCAGATCGATTCTGGAAACATTAAGTTAATAGCCCGGCCCTATTGAGCCCTTAAATCCAATCATTGTGCATTTAATGATCCTCAGCAAACTGCACAGTTTATCCTGTGACATCTAAACTATCTGCACCTAGAACCAAAGCTCTTTTCTCAGGTTATTAACCCTTTATCTACAAGGGGGCAGCAAAGATAACTTTGGAAATGACGCTCTTGTGTGTGGAGGGTTTTCAACAATGGATACTCTTCAGATGGTTGTCTAATGCATTCTCTGTCGTTATTGTATTTGCTGTTTGTATTGATCACCACTACTCATGATTTACACTAGTGCTGTTGGATGACTTGAGATGAAGCTCACCGTGATGTTGAGATAGACGCTGCGTTTCTCTTGGTCGTAGCTGACAAAAACAGATTTCACTCCGACGTAGGACACATCGATGGAGCGAGGGAAGAGGAAGAAGACAGCCAGACTGGACAGCAACAAGCAGACCACCACTGACGCTGACACATACAACTTCCTGAGGACACAAGACAATCACGGGATTCATTACTAACACACACAACTACAAACTCTAACAGAGCTTTATCAATACTTGAATATCCTAATCTAATTAGAGAATATTGGTGCTCTGTCACATCACGCTGTAGATGAATAGGATTGTTTACAGCAGCATAAATCACTCTTTTTATCCTCCATCTTGACAACAACCAGGTAAACAGTGGAACCTCTTCACATGAATGCTGATCTACAGCAATGTGCACTGGGATGTCATGGACTGACCAATGCAGTGCTTTGCTCAATGATGTCACTTTGCGTTGCAGAAAATGATGAGCCAGGTTGAATTTACAGTGTTGCCAGGTATTACCCAGAGCCCTACGCATCAAATTATGAACAGACAATACTATTTGAAACCTTGGCTAATGGTAAACAGTAAGTGGATTAGTAGGAGTCATGTGGTTATATCAAAAACTACTTCACAATGTAGTGGCTAAGAAGCTCAGCATTAAAGGACATTTGGTGAAAAGAGTGAGATGAGAAGATAGTTGTGAATCTTTCGTCTGTGTGTTCAGTATGGAGCTGGAGTCAGGGCATAGATAGCCTAGCTTAGCATAAAGACTGGAAGCAGAGGGGAACAGCTAGCCTGCTTCTGTGTAAGTTCAGAAATACACCTCTCAACACTTCTATAGCTCACTAATAATACACCGCATCTGGTTTCTTTAATAGATACAATAAAATAAATGTAAATGTGTCAGTTACATGCTTGAATTAATTCATGTTGAATATGTCCGGTGCAGTGACTGTGAGCGGCTTCTTGGAGTCTTGTTGACACAGTGAAGTTGCCAGGTTTGGTATACTGCACAAAAATTCATATATTGAGAAGAAATTGAAATGCCTTTTTTAAATGTGTTGTTTCGTTTCCCATTAATTCTTTCTTCCACTCATTTATTTTTTTAAAACCGTGTAGTTTATTGAATGACAATGCATCTAAATTTAGAACGGCAGTATAGTAATATCGTACTTGAGAGCTGGACAGTTATCTGAGAACAATGCACACACTCCAGACAATCAGTACATATTTTGTATATTAAAAAAAAGTTACTACACCTAAACACATGTTTGAGTATGATAGCTAAACTATGTGTGTGTATTTAATTCAACTTTACATACACATGCAAATCCTGAAAGATGTAAAGTTGTAATTGAACCAAGTCAGTGGCTCTGTGTAACAGTGCTGAGGGGACACACAGATAACAGCACTCACGTCCTCCTGGGTCGCAGCCTTTGGTCACTGTATGGAATCAATGCCACAAGTTGATTTTCTTGTCCTGAAACACAGGCAACAATCAATGATGAGTCACTGCTGAACTGTTTTGGAAACTAAGTCTGTGGTGCAATGAAAGCCTTTTGTATGTCATCCCCCTGATTTACTGAAGGATTATCACTGGATACTGTAAAATCATACAACTATGGAAGACAGACAGCTAACTAACATTTAGACTACCCCCACCCTGACTGCGTACACAGTAGTGTTACCTCTGGGGATCCTCCCGGTGCCCTGACATGTGGGACATGTCACACTGTCCCGTCCTGTGAACTCCACATAAGGGAACTGGGAGACGTCTCCACCCTTTCCGTCCTCAGTCTGAGAGTCCTCCAGAGGAGAGGTGAGGCTCTCCTGGCCGTCATCCTGGCCTGTCTGCTTAGTGAGGTGGGAAAAAGACTTTCCCATAGTCACACCTGGAAAACACAAGAACAGTCTGTGATTCACACAGTCAGCTGGGTCTGTTCACAGTCCATCCATACCTGAGTTCAATGATTGACGTATAGCTATGGGACCAATGGAAAGCAGTGTTAAACGAGTAAACAGTGATAGGGGAGCAGAGCTGCTACGATTAGTCAACTAATCAATTAGTGGATCGATAGATAATGAATCAGCAACAAAAGTATTTGGTTCCAGCTTCTCAAATGTAAATTTTTCAGAGACATTTATTACTGTTGGTTGTATAAAATAAGACCTCTGAAGACAGCAGCTTGGGCTATGGGGCACTGGGATGGACGTTATCGTCTCTGCTGCTGCTTGCATATAGGGGACACACTGATTCTTATTTCTCAGTCAGAAAATTCTCACTCAGCCCCGTCAATCCAATCATTTAAGAAATATTTCACATTTCCCTTCCAATTATCTGCAAAAAAAGTTGTTCTGTTTTGACTGTTCCTGTGTTGTTTTTAGTCCCAATTTGTTTTGCCCGTTTGCCTTGAGAGTTCCCACTTCATGCAGGATTACATTACAAAGAACCCAGTATATTTATATAGATATACATGCATGTGATTCAATTCATTGTGATTTCAGCCTTCGATTTAAAAATAATATCTCATTCATCTTGTTACAATCATTATGCTTTCATAAACACATATTTCTTACTTTGCTATAAATATCTTACGAGAAGCTTTGTCTCTCTTAGCAGCAGGCTTCCTTGTCCATCAGGCTGTAGCCCATGTATAGGCCAACAATTCAATTAAAAAGGGATCAATTAAAATATGAATATAGGGAGGTGGGTGGTCACACTCAACCTGGTGTTTTAGTAAAGTCGAAGCTGATTGTCAAAAGACTCATAATATAAGAGACGTGTCAACTGTCAGTCATACCTTGTTAAATGATAACGCTATATAATGGGTGGTAGAATATCTGCTGGTTGAGACGGGCATTACTTAGCAAGATTACGCTAACGTTAATAGTGCTAACGTTTAGGCCTGTGAACTTTAAGTTAGAGCGAAGGCAGTTAACATTAGTAATATGTTAGCAGGGGAGAAGTTACTGTCAATGTCGATGTAGCTAACAACATTATACAATCAACTGAAGTGAACAAGTAAGCTGTCAAAATGCCTCCTTAAAAGAAAACCCCACCAGAGTAACAGTTAGCATGTTAGCTAGCTACAATTGCCAAGGCTGACGTCTAACAAATTCCAAAATGAACCTTAGCCGTGGCCAATGCTACCATAGCTTACTCACCTAGCTACTTTAATGTATAACACGCTCTATCCACCAGAGGTTAATATGCGAAACACCGTCATAACACGTAAGTTCACTGAAATAAGGTCAGAGAGAATTAACGCTACCTGAATGCGACCTACTGGTGCTGCTGGTTCATGCACTTTGTTTATCCTCTTAAAAACAGACATGCGCACATGTGATACATTCACTACCGTGGGAAAAGTCAGTTTCAAGCTTAGAAGTACGATTACATCATGATGACATCTATTAAGATCCCTTATGGAGCAATAACAGACACAAATTGATTAGGCTACTTAACTGCTGTGTTTTTGTCTAAAAGGAAAGAAGAAACGGGAAAACACCTCACATATTTATCAAACTGCAGTGTACTGGCATATGTTTTTTAAATGTTGGCCTTACCCTCTCCTGCAGCCAGAGAAGATGCATGTCTCTATGTACAAAGAAAGGGTAAGGCCATGTCACAGCAAAATCGATCTACCTTCTATTACCAGTAGGCTAAACGTGCCGGCTTCACCTGTAAATTTGCAATGTCATCTGAATATTGCTCATGTTATTATCCCTTGTTCTTTTTATTTAGCTTTTTCCAGACATTAGGGTTAATCAAATGAATGCTTTCTGGGTGAATAATATGGCAGTGATCTAAGAGCATTTTCAAGGACTAGTTTTGACCCTGAGTCAAAAATCAATGTCATTTTTGTCAATGCTGAAGGAGTTGGAGAAGGGGCCGTAGATGAGGGGCGTCCCACAAGGGACTTTTGTACTCTCCTCATGAGACAACTTGAGAGCCACAGCATATTTGAAGGTCCAGAGGAGAGTAAGGCATTGGCCCTGGACTGTGTTGGTAAGTTTACAAGTAAATATAATGCATTTTAATTTGTAGGTTTAAACATTTATATGATATGATCAGAACACATTTATTGTGGGAATGTAAACTCATTTTATTTCCTGCATTTTTGCATAATTCACCCACTTGGCTGTTGAGACTGTCTTTGCCACTTCAGCAGGGCACACTCTCATTTTCCCTTTTATTTGAGTTTTTTTTTAATATGATCAGGAGACATTGTATGGATGAAAACACTGTATCTTAATGTAGTACTTATTTCTTTACTTCAGTCTTACAGAAAGGATTCTACACTACAGGGACAAATGTTGATGGTTTGTCTGGTGCAGGGGTCGGTGTCTCCGCTTATACAGGCAGGTTTGTCACCTGTCCCTGCCAATTGGGATAATATCATGGACTACAATCTCAAGGCAAAGCTCATGTCCATTAAAATTCATCCATTTTGTTCAAAGCTAAGGCCTGGTGTGTGCTTATATTTTATACTCTTGAAATTAATTTGTCATATAGTGTACTTACTCTGTAGAGATGTTGTATTTCAATGGGTGATTTATGTCATTGAAAAACCACCCCACACCCATATGTGTCTTTTTGGAAGACATGACGGCACTACTTGCAAACAAGTTATACTTTCTCCACTCCGAGAATGGACCGGCCCATTTTCCAACGGCAAATACATGTGCATTTATTTGAAGGATTCCAGTATGCCAGCAGTATGACGGCATCAAAGAGGACATGGAAAATGGCATTAGCTGGGCTAGCCAATTTAGGGTAGCTTAATTTAGAAGCAATAGTATTATTATTATTGATTATTATTATATGTATGGTTAATGAAGAATGTGATTGATACTTCATCATCAATCACAATGATAATTAATATATATTGTATTGCTGGGACATATGATTATTGCCATTATTATACTATTATTAATTATGTTAGAGTATATTATTATTACTATAAATAACATTTAAATTGTTACAATGGAACAGTAACATCTCCACAGACAACCACAGAGGACAGCTGGACAGCTTTGAGGCTCTGTGGTAGGACGCAGCATATTTTAAGACACTGACATTAGTGTTATTTTATTACTGCTAATGGGTCATAATGTGTGGAGTTTTGTGAAAACTGTGCCATGGAAAGCATAGTGAATGCTGGACTAGCAAATAGTGAATTCATAAAAGGAGACATTATCTGCCCTTGAGCATAGAATAGAATGCTGGATGGAACATGAATGTTCTGTGACTCCAATAAATTAGAATGTTGACGTGTCATTTTAGGTAGTTGGGCAAATTCAACTCATGTTCTTCAAAAACTTCACAGAGACAGCTGGACAGCTCTGAAGCTCTGAGGTAGGCCGCGGAAAAACCACTGTTCATCATTTCTAGTAAAGTTTTATTTTATTTGACTGCGGTCAGGCTGGGGGGCTCCCTGTTGACGTGAAGGTCTATCATCTGTATAATTGGCTGAGGAACTTGCAAGCTTTTCAACCTATTACAGTTGGGTGACGCTTATCATGTTAGCAGATTCATGCTCAGTGTTGAGCTGTTTGGGGAGTGTCCTGCAGCAGTATTAAAGAACTGCATCCCAGGTAGTAGCCCTGGCTTCTCGGAGCCAATGCTGACGGTGAGCGTTTGAACTGTGGGGAAGACTCAGTCGCGCTCTTGAGTCCTGCATGTGTGGGGCAAGCCACAGTCTGCCGTCAGCAGAGCGTAAAGATGGTCGGCCAGTCTTCAGTGCTACCTGGGGGCAGGAAGTCTGCGCGCCAGTCTGCCTCAGAGCTCACTTCAGGCTTCCGGTGTGTCCGATGTAGGATGCTGTGGTAAGATACTCGCACCAAACTCCTGTCGTGTAAACCAGTAGCATATCTGACCTGTAACTTTGGATTCAGAATAGACTTTGACTGCTACCACTTTTTGTAATTTGCCTCAGGATGTTTGGTGCCACCCAGTGGCGGGCCATGCATTTTATACCTGGGCCTTGCAGCTGAAACACCACCTAATAACCTCATGATGGCGCCACAGCTACGGTTATTTGTTTCTAGAGGTGTAACATCACGTATTCGTATTAAACCGTTCGGTACGAGGCTTAAAAACCGAACAATATGTTTGAATAATACTAGTGCATTTGGAAAATGCAGAAGCTTAAATTGTGGTAAATATAATGTTTTCGGTGGACTGCGCTCAAGTAAGAGACACCGGTCTGTCTGTCTGTTTAGTTTTCGGGTCAGCGTCTGACCCCGGAAGCAAAACAAAACACAGCTGAGGCGCGTGTGTTCTGCGAGGCTATGCTAAACTACCTTAGTAAGGAAACAACACGCACAAACCCACGCTACATGCTCCCCGCAGCGTTTAGCTGTTCCCTACTGATTCAAAAAGGGCTAAGCAATCGCCACACAATCCCCATTTCTTCAGACCATCATTCTTGCTTTGTAAAAGAAAACAGCCTAAACAGATTCAATTATCCAGACCCTAAACCCACGCAGGACAGTATGCTTCATAATTACGGACAATGCATAGGGTCAAAATCGATGTAATTAACAAAATGACAAGAGCGAACTCACAAGAACCAGTTACATTTATTTACAACAAAGCGTGACAAAACAATGTCGATGTGTCCTTGGGCAAGACATTAATCCCAAAATTGCTGCAGCAAGCTGTTTCTGCATGCGTGAATCTGTGAATGTTAGTCCTGATGGGCAGCTGGCACGTTGCATGGTAGCCCCTGTCTTCAGTGTATGAATGGATGAATAATTACATGTAGTGTTAAAGTCCTTTGAATGGTCGGACCACCAGGAAACTTATATATGGCTTGAGACTTCTAATGACGTAGAAACGGGGCCCTGTTTCTGATCATCTCTTTTCTACAGAGGTCTTTAGATCGATGGAGCAGGAGAGAAAGAGAGAGAAGTAGAGAGTAGACACTGGCAACACATTTTTAAAAGCCATGAAAAAGTGTAATAGGTGACCTTTAACTACAAACGAACATAAATTGTAGGTAAAGAAATACCTTAATAAAGCTATTAAGCTGAGGGTCTCCAAACCCCTCCTATATTACCAGCAGTGTGTCTTCACAACTGCAGAACAGACAGAATGACAGAGAGGATCAGTGATGCAGGTGCTTCAGTCAGTTTATTGTAAACCGTTGAGTAGTACAACTGTGTGTAGTTGGTTATTTTAATGTTTTGACTTTACATAGAGATAGGATAGGAGGTTGTCTGTCTACAACCTTCTGTCTGTCCCCCAAATTGCCTCCACTTGTGGGACTGTGTTAAACTGCAGCTCCTTGGGTTTGACAAAATGTTTGCAATGTAAAACTCCATTTTTAAGCCTGTGTATTATGTATTTTTTAAATAAATACTATATTTTGGAACAGACGTGAGAATTCAGTGAAGTTCTAAGAAAAAAGCAAACTTGCCATTATCAGTCAAGTTAACTTGTACATATAAGTCAAACCAAGTTTGGAATTTAAATCCTCTAAATTTGAAATAGCGAGTTGTATGTAGTTAAGATATGAACCTGAAACTGAGTTACAATAATGCAGCGCTGTGTCTTTGTTCGACTAGGTAAGGCAAGTTTTCTTGCATTTTAAGTTGAAACAAGTGACACGTTCAATCAACTATGAGAACAGAAAACTATTTTGAGACAATTAGACCATTGTAGTTAAATCAACTTTATGAACTTTGAGTTTAATCAAAGGTAATCCTCAAGTTGAGTTAACTTGCATTTTGCATGAAAACCAGTCATGACAAAATGTGGAACCTGTAAATGCAACTAACACACACAACACAGAATAGACCAAAAAAAAAGACTGAGGTGCACAAACATTTATGTCCGTCTTGGGGCTCTTAGTTGCCCATGTGGTTGCATGTGCTTTGTTAAGTGTTGAGGTATTACTTAAAGACTACAGGAGTGGGCTGAGATTGGTGTGGCAATGGTGACCCCCTCCTCCTCTGACTACACCGAGGGAAACGTACTGTGGGAGGTGACCAAACTTAATTGTATTAATCGTTCTCTATTGTGCTTACTGATTTCACAGCATTAACAAAATAGAAGCCTTTCTAGGCAATTTCTAATCTCAATACTGAGAAAAAAACCCTGTGAAATAAAAGGTCATTCAACTTTTCTGTGCTGGCAACAGCAAC